CCTCTCACGTTTCTAAGAGGACATCCGCATCCAGTCCAAAAGTTACACTGGGAGAGAAGGCCACATCAGTGAGGTCTCATCGTTCACATACGACATCTCAACAGTCACACACAGCTTCCTCCCACACCTCCAGAAAGGCCTCATCTTCCCGATCAAAGGCAGGTAGCAGCGTCTCACAGCAATCTTCCCATTACAGCCAAAGGCCACGGATATCTACAGCTGGAGAGGTACTAATGGAAGCTGGGATGGCAGAGGTAGACCTAGAGACAGCAAGAGAAGAGCAGCTGTTGAAGGAAGAGTTGGCAGCTGCAGTAGCCAAAGCTCAGGCAGACAAGGCAGCTGCAGAAGCCAAAGCTCAGGCAGACGAGGCAGCTGCAGAAGCCAAAGCTCAGGCTCAATTGGAATACCTCCGGCGCAAGCGGAAAGCAAACAAAGGAGGCCACACCCACAGAGTAGGTTCCAGAAAATTTTGAAACCCACCACTGAAAATGACATATAAAATAATAAGATAACAAATCACAGGTAACCAGAGGACCTTGTGGGTGCAGAGCAAAGTATCTACAGGGGGTAAGAGGGCTGGAGGCCAAGTAGGCAATTTATCATAACCCCCATTCAATTGTTTGCTAACCCATTGGAGAAGCCTCTGACTTTTACCTCAAAACAAGACTCAGTGCAGAAAATGCAGAACCAGGTAGAATGTAACTATCTCTAGAGGATCTTCCATTAAATTTAATTCAGTGCAACATTTCGGGATGCTGAGGGGGTGGTGGAACGACTCAACAAAGCCAGTTAATTTGCTTCCTGTTTACTGTTTAGCTCCGGGATGCTGTGTAAACACTGACCAGGAAATCAGAAGCCTGTTTTTCCAGTGGCCCCACCTGCCCAGCTGCTATGTCTCCCTTTCCATCGCCTCCATACTATGATGGAGATGTTTTCTTATCCGACACACCTTCAATGTTGTGAAGCTCCTGCAACCAGAATGGAAAAAATAATAATCACCCCCACCCTGCCTACTTTGTTCCCCATTTAGAATCTGAGCTGCAGATTTCTCTGCTGTGCATTTTGAAGACAATCCCGGGGCAGGTAAACTCTCCTCATTCCAGCCCTCCACCTCCATTACTGGGGTGAAAAGACTGGCCTCACACTTCATTTTGGAGCTCAGTTTTGTGGGTTTTTTCCTCTGTGTTCAAGCACCCTTTGGAGTGTGGGCCTGTGTTGTATATACCAATGTCACTGGAACCATCAATATGTGCTAAGGCCAGTGGTGCAGTAATGGTATCCTATTTTCTTCATAACCAGTTCAGTAGCGGGAGCACACATCTGGGCATGCTCAGGACCTTCTGATGATGTCTGGGTGGGTGGGTGGAGCCTCGCGCCACCATCACTACCAGTTGCCTGAACCGGTGCAAACCGGCAGCATACCACCTCTGCAGTGGTAGGATTCAGCCAGTTCACACCAATTCGGCAGAACTGGTTGTTAACTTTCTAAGCAATTTGGAGAACCAGTTGCTAGAAGAAACTTCCTTTGTTTTTTTCCACTTTACGGGGCTAATCCTGTAAGGAAGGCAGGACGGAAACATTCTGGTGTTTGTAGCCTAATCTTTATTGTCCTGCTTACAGAAATTGCCTCCCCGGTTAACCCTTAACAGCTAAGGTAAAGCGCCCATCGACGTGAGTGACATTGAGTTGGCCATGCCCACCCAGTCACATAACCACTGAGCCACATCTACCCAGCTGATCAGTAGGGCAGAGAACCAGTTGTTAAATTATTTGAATCTCACCAGTGGCAAAGACTACAAGATTTTAAGAACACCCAACCAGCTTTTCCCTCAGAATGTTGGCAACTGTCCCAAAGTATACAGTATTGTTGTATCATCTTATATGCTTTGCTATTCTTTATTGTTTTTTACTATTTTACTATTTTGTTTTGGTATCTAAATATATATTAAAAATAGTATGCTGCCTAGAGGTACGTGCCATGGCATGCATAAGTATTTTAAACAAGTCAATTTATTATTCTCCTCAGTTTGCAAAGTTCAAACAGTTGTTCCCTCTGCTGTAGCCATTACTTCAGAATACGATGACTCACCTCTTCCTAAGGTACAGTATACCGATTAGCATTTGGAGTTTTGTACAAAACAATGACTGTGTTTTCACAATATGCTTAATTAATTCTGGTATAAACTAGCCAAGGAGGCTGGGTTCATACAACTTGCTAACCCATCACGAATACTAAGCAAGCTTAAAATTCATCAAGGATAATAAGCAAGCTTATGACCCTCGACTGCTAGTAATGTGGCCTCACAAGATTGTAAACTTTTAACATTATTATGTGATTTTATATCATAAAACTATATTGTATATATTTATATGCAATCCAGGACAATTCCTCTTCAGTCAATATGGCCCAGGCAAGCCAAAATGTTGAACACCCATGGTTTCCATTTTTGACTGGTTGGGTTAAACAAGTATGTAATGTGAATCACCCCAAACTGAAAGTCCAGTCTAGACATATTTATCTGGAAGTGCCAGTAAGTCCCTATGAGTTAATTAGCCAGATAATACACCTCACCCAAGTTAATAAAACACAATTATTATTGACAATATAGCATGATACATTTCAACCCATAATGCATTTTATGTTTTAATTTGGTGGAGTGGTTTATATAACATACTAAAGTAATGAAGAGTTGCCCCATATCATATTTAATAACAAATTACTTTTCCTATTTTAGATCATCTAGAATGTTGTGCAAACTGATCTAAGGTGTACAATTATTCCTTTAATTGTAGATGGACAAATAGCATGTTAGAAACCTATAAACTGTAAAAAAAGTGACTGACAAATTTCCAGCTGGACAGCTGCAGATGGTTACTGTACATTATGCATAAATTGTGTGTGGATTTCATTTCTACTAGAAATAATGGCCATCAGATCTGATTTACAAACATCTGGACAGACCACTAGATGATAGCTTGTTGCTCCAAATCAATTTTGGAGTCCGAATTTTGGTTAGCCTGTTTTTCTAGTTTTATAAAGACAAATCATCAAAAGACCAGGATGAAGTTATCAGTGGCAATTAACCAAGATATCAAAAAAGATTATCTGGTTGTTGAGGAAGGCAGTTCTAAATTATGGATGGTGGAGAGTTCTTGTTGGAAAGTGTTGATCTGCTTTGGAGTTTCTGTGCTGTGTTATCCCCCACCAGCTCGGGGAGGGGGGGGCTTTGGTTTATCAGGGCATTTGTCATGCAATTGTTTAATTAGTCTCTCTGCCTTCACATTCCAGCTTTTTATCCATGTACCTTCTGACTAAGAGTACCCTTTCCAGTGAACTAAGTATTGTAATTGTAATACAACCTGCAGTCTAGATTCTAGACTCTAGAATCTTTCTCACTTCATAATGGGTTTCCCCTTGCACTACTATAGGAGGAGATGGGGCCTGGGTCTGAGGCCTTAACCTAGATCAGTGGTTCCCAAACTTGGCAACTTTAAGACTTGTGGACTTCAACTCCTAGAATTCTCTAGCCAGCAGAGCTAGATCCCAGGGCTGGTTTTAATAGGCTACAATGAAACACAGGATGTATTTCCCCTAGAATTCTGGGGAGATTAAGATGAACTGCCACTGGATTAATTACTTTCACTATTGGGAATGGACCTAAGAATTTAATACACTCTGACTGGCCCAATAGTCTTTTTCTCTGATCCAGCAAACAGCTTTAAGCAACATGACTAGTTTTGGGGGGTTTTTTTACATATCATTCAGGCAATTTTTCACCCAGCAGAAATTCATTTCAAATCAGGAATCAGTAATGGGCAGTAGTAAAAAAAATTAATCAGCTGAAAGGACAGATGATTCCCTTCCTCCTCTGATGCATAATTAACAGCCCAATGTTTCAGCCACATGAACTAAGCATCTGATAATTTCACTAACCAAATGCATAGGAAACTGTCCGTAAATGATAACAAAGAACAGGTGTAAAATAAAAGTGCACTGTACTGTTTTGAATTCAAGGAAAGACAAGAGAGGCACACATGAAAAACGCCAAGGGTTTTTTTTGTGTGCTTATAATTAAAATATTTGTAGACTGCTTTTACACACACTCAAAGCAATTGATAAACAATAAAATCTCACACATAAAATATGAAAAAAAACCAGTTCTAATGTAAGAATTGACTTTTCTTTCCTTCTTCAGCATCTCTGCAAGGGAGGAACAAGTGTGTAACACCTCTGGGCTCTGCAAATAGTGCATTTGTCAAAGGAGAGCTACACACCCATTTGGAAAATTTGACAAAATCTTATTCTGGAGAGCAATCCATTCTAAATGATGGTCTGACTCTCCATTAAATAATAAGAACGATAATAAAACCTGACTTCTGCCTATGCCCAGAGACATTTTCCTTTATTTCACAAGCCCCCTGGTATTCAAAATTAGCTGAGGATAATCTTCCAAAGAGTCTGCTTCAAATCCAGCCCTGAGTGGAAGAAAGGTGGAAATATATCTTTTTTAATATACTTGGTCCTATTTAACACTAGTCCATCATTCCCAAATTGCCAACTGGCATTGGAGACACTCAGTTCAGTCTCAACAGAATTGAGACAGTACTTTATAAAGGAACAGAAATACCATCCCAGTAGCCAGTCTCAAAGTGTCTTTTTTTAAGATCATCCCTCCCTCAGATTAGATTTACACCTGTATTCAAGCATTCAATACTGGTTTAACTCTGGGTTTAAATTAATCCATGCAAGGCATTAAAAAGGCACATTGTTGTTATTCAATCTCTTCCCTATGTTGCAGAATTCAAACTTCCTATCATATCTCTGAAGATCTCAAATAAACCGGGTCTACTTCTCCTTTCTCAACTCATTGTCTGACAGCCCAGAAACTAATTATCCCACAGTTTGAGTTTCCTCCTCCTAGACCTCCACAACCTGCAAACCTAGATATAGTTCTGCTTAATCATTGCATCCTTTTAAAGAGTTTGCAGTAATTTAAGAAAGGTAAGTGAACGGGGGCCTTCCCAGAGAGCTTCCGGTTTTCAGAAAGTATCAAAATAACTACAAGAGTGCTTGCAAATAATGGAACATACAGTTATGGAAAGAGAGCCAGAAACCAAACTTGATGGACACTCTTTCCTACCCAGATTTCCAAATACAAAGAAACAGCCAGCAATTAGAGGGGGCTTATACCCTTGCTCTCCACCCCCACCAATGACTGTTCTTGCCACTATCACACACCAGGTCTATATCCACCATCAAATGCTTCTAAACAAGTGTCAAAGGGCGTCTGGAAGTCCAGCAAGCATCCACCCCACTTCAAGCTTCCCTGTTGTTGTTGCTGCTGCTGAGCTGGCTATGATCCTGGTGAGTTTGAAGGTGACTAGTCTTCCATTAATCTCACAGAATCCAGTTTTCAGTACAGTTTTGTTAGGAGCATCTGTCAGACTCTGGTCCTTGAGAGATATTTGTTCAAACAGGTGAATGCAAGAAATGAATCCCTGCTTTCCAAACCTGGATGAAATATGCCAGGCTTCCCTGCTGCTACACCGAATCCAAAGGATGTAAAAGGATGGTCCCTCCTCACACTGCTCCACTTAGTCCCTCCATGGTGCAAAGTCCCCAAGACCGATGAGGGAGGAAGAATGGCTTAGACGTAGTTGCTGGTTGGCACTGCTTGAGATGCTGTGTACTTTGTCGAATAGGGTTTCTCATGCCTGGGGGGGCAGTTGCAACACAGTAGCGCTCCTCCGATGAGCAACAGGCCACAGGCGGCCCAGCCAATATAGAGAGAAGTCCCCAAGTCCCGCTTGAGGCTCTCTGGGATCATGGGGTTGTAGAAATCTCGTATGATGTTGTTTGCTGTCCAGCAGAGTGGAATCAGAAGCACGATGCTGGAGATGATGAAGAGGACTCCAGAGAAGATCATCACCTTGGCTTTGGTAGCTTCCTCTTCCACGCAGCTGGTGCACTTTCCCCCAGTGATGGAGAAGAAGATGCCAATGATGGCCAGCACGATGGCAATGACTACCAGAGCCCGAGCAGCTTGCATGTCCTGCGCCAGTGCCAACATAGAATCGTAGATCTTGCATTGCATCTGACCCGTGCTCTGGACTACACAGTCCATCCATAGGCCCTCCCAAATAATTTGGGCCACCACAATGTTATTGCCTATGAAGGCTGTCACCCTCCACATCGGCAACCCACAACAGAGGATGCTACCTAGCCAGCCGATCACTGACAAGGCAATCCCCAAGACTTGCATCCCCATGGAAGCCATGGCGTTCTCCTCCTGCTTCTTGGAGCAGCTACAGCCAAGGAGGCAAAAAAATGTATTTAAAAAACCCCAAACTGGAAAACGACAAGAAGAGACGGTGCAATAATACTGAAATGCGGGCGACAAATTTGGGGAACTTATAGGCTGCGGTGATGGGTGGAGTTTTACAGAAGCCATCCAGTCTGAACAGACAGGGAAACTTAAACCTGTTCCCCGGGATTCCTTCTCCTCCTCCTCCTCTCCTCTTCTTCAAAGAGGGGTTGTTATCCTAGCAGAAGCAGGTTCCTCCAAGCCTGACTCACCAATAAATCCCAGCCCCAAAAGGAAGATATAGCATGAGATAAGAAGCAAGGGGTCAGAACAGAAGGTTTTCCCACCTCGTTTTTTGCTGATATCTGATGTTTCATTCTTACTAAGAGCATAGAAATTGTATAGCAAGTTCGATCTAATGTTCCTTCTATCTCAATGTCCTACTTCCATCGGTGATCATTCAGATGCTTCAGGAGGTGCAGAAGGAAGTCTTGCATGGATGACATTGAAGGGTCCATTACTTCTGCCTAAAGAGATTCCAGCCAATTATCCTAACCTAGTAGTCATCAGGGGGCACAATGGCTCAGTGGCTGACAGCTTGTTGATCAGGAAGGTCGGCAGTTTGGCGGTTTGAATCCCTAGTGCCGTGTAACAGAGTGAGCTTCCATTACTTGTCCCTGTTTCTGCCAACCTAGCAGTTCGAAAGCATGTAAAAGTGCAAGTAGAAAAATAGAAACCAACTTTGGTGGGAAGGTAACAGCGTTCCGTGCGCCTTTGGCATTTAGTCATGCCGGCCACATGACCCCGGAGACGTCTTTGGACAGCGCTGGCTCTTTGGCTTAGAAATGGAGCTGAGCACCGTTCCCTAGAGTCAGGAACAACTAGCACGTATGTGCGAGGGGAACCTTTATGTTTACGTAGTCGTCATCAATATCAGTTCTCTTTGCAAATAGTGCTTCTGCTACAGATCACGCTATCACAAACTGTAGCCAGGAGGAGGACTTGCTCGCCTTTCTCTAGGAGCACAAGGCTATTCACAAATAAATTCCCCCACGATAACTTTTTGAGGTAGATTGGAATGGGTGGCACTGACTCAGTGACGCTTCATGATCTTTATGGTCCAGCCAGAGGTTACTCAGTTCTCCTTAATCCATGCCTAGCATCTGTCACCCTGGTGTTTGCCTTTAGAGCTCTCGAAGTAGAGAATTACTCTCTAGTCTCCACCCAGTATAATGTTGTTCTGCATGGAAGCATTCTTCCTTTCCCACACCCTCCTTTGCAATTCAGATAGGACTGTCCCACTCCAGGCCCTGCTTCTAGTCCAATTGCTGTGAGGGCATCATAGATGATCACCTCACCCTCAGAGGATGTGATGACCACAGGCAGCTGGGCTACACCCCTGAGAGCACCAAACTGGTTGAGCAGCAAAGGTTGCAACATCCCAAGTCTTATGGAAATAGAGGGGAAGAAACTACAGGCAAGTTTCAGTGCACCACAACATCTCGTCTCTCATAAATATGGTATGTTCAGGGCGATAGTCAGAGTCTTTGTAAGAACCGTTTGTGGGAATTAACTCCAACTTTGGTGCAGTGCAAGAGTCACTGGAGGTTTTTAAGAAGCGATTGGACAACCATTTGTCTGAAATGGTATAGGGTTTCCTTGAGCAGAGGGTTGGACTAGAAGACCTCCAAGGTCCCTTCCAACTCTGTTATTCTATGTTTCCAATCAGATTTCACAAAATGAACATAGACACAGTATCATTACTCGTGAATAGTACAAACAAGGTGAAAGGAACAGATTTCTCAACAGCGTGCATGGAAAATTTCAGCAAGAACTGATCGAGCTGATATAACATTGCTGTTCTTTTGTCCACATGTGCTTCGGGCATTTTATCTCGGGGGGGGGGGAGAGTGTAGAGACTAAACTGATAGGATTCTATGATGTAGCCATCTACCAAGCCCTCTGCTTTTTTTTTTACATGCTGTATGTCATTTGTAAGGCACAAATAAAACAAGTAGGCTTCTATAGCATTGTCATAATCATCCTCTTGAGTTTTTTTTTAATTCCACCTTGCAGACATCTCTGTGTTATCCAAATAAGAGCTTTAAAGAGACCAGTTTGCTTCTATGTGGTACTAAAAAGGAATCTGCCCCTTTTGCTGAAACACTCAGTCATTTTAAAATTGGATAATATTGTTTACATAGTTATGGGGCTATCAGGACCTGCATTTCCTTGGGCCAGGAATAACTTCAGATTATCTTAGAGCCAAAGTAATTACTACAATAGTGGGAAATCTGTAGAGTGTAGAATTATGATGTTCTATGGGAAAAAATAATAGCTTAGGAATCAACTTAGGTAAAGTAAATAAGTGGCACAGGGTTGGGGGTGCTGGAAGGCAGATATTGACTATCCCATACACCGAGATTGGTTTCCCAGTCAGATTTTGAGGCTGTATTTAATATTGTTGATGAGTTATAACATCAGAAAATCAGCAGACGTTTCTTCTCAGACGTAACTTGTAGTTTGATCCTCAGCTTCCAGTCTTCTCCTGCAATCAGGGATGAACATCATGGTCTTTTCCAATCTTTCTTTCTACAAATCTTTGATTTTAGCCAAAAGAGCAAGAAGTGATATACCAAGCCCTTTTGTGTTATCAAACTAATGGGGTGAAAGTAAGTTTAAACCAAGAGTACCTGACAAGATGCCCACAAACAAAATCTACTGCCAGACTTGCTGCTCTCCAGTTTAAAAAAGCAAAATATAGCTGATTATTTAATTACAATTAAATGAGACATCAGTGTTTAGGGAAATTCCGTACCTGAACCCATCCCCATGAGTTATGCCATAAATAGGTTAAACGTGTTGCAGGCTGAGAGTTTGCAACTTCCCAAGTGACTGTTTTCCCCTTAATGGATGTTATTCTTGTAACCAAGCAAGCCTCTCAGTCACCCTCTCAGCTTTTGTAAAGCAGAGTGCAACTGCTGTCAAAATTTGAAGTGAGTCTTCCTATTCAAGAAAATTGCCTACTCCAACATTCTTTCAACTTTATAGCCTGGAGTCCCAAAATAAACATGACATTTTACAGGTAAGGATGAGCAGAGGATGACTAAGGTCAAATGCATCTTTACATCATTTATGTGAAGAGCTTGACCGTCGTAACTTCTACCAAAGGATCTAGGCCAGCGTATCTCAACCTCAGCAACTTAAACTACATGGATTTCAGCTCCCAGAATTTCTCAACCAACATGCCGGCTGAAAAATTCTGGGAGTTGAAGTCCAAAGTGCGAAAGTTGCTGAGTTTGAGAAACGCTGATCTAGATAACTAAGCATCCTTAAACACAGTGAGAAGAGTTGGGCTCTTGGATCATCAATGTTCTCAGATGTAAATAATAGAGGACCACAATGGCTTGAGTCCTCTTCGTTCTTCTCTACCAAATGCAGCCATTCAGAAGAACCCAATAGTTGAGGGGCAGCTAGGAAGGAAATTCGAGTCCTTACGCATGGCATGAGGTAGCAGTTAAAAGCTCAGACTAGGGAGCGAAGGAGTTGCCAATTTAAGTTCAGTTTATGAGTTTGCAGGGGTGTTATAAGCGAATATCCTGGCTGGGGAATTCTAGGAATTGAAGTCCATACATACATCTTAAAGCTGCCAAGCTTGAAAATTAGGGTTCTATATCAATGCAATTTTACTGTAAATATTTATTCAATTTCTATAGCCACTCATCTCAACCAATGACTCTGGCCAGCTTACAATACCAAAACTATAAAAAACAATTAAAAACAATTTAAAAAACCAAAATAAATACAGTATATGCAGCCAGATAGCTAGTTAAAACCAAGAATTGGGGCCCAAGAATTGGGGCATTCAAGTACACAGCCAAGATATTTAAGTCTTGGGAAAAGCCAATAGATTTGGGGCCATTCTAATCTTCTATGGCAGAATATTCCGCAGAGCAGGGGGCAGAAAAGGCCTGTCATTTAATCCAGTGGAGGGTTGCTGATTTTCTTACTACTTGTTCGGGCATGCGCACGACACTTCTGCACATGCACAGAAGCGTTCTGGGTGGGTGGACAGAGCCTCCTGCCCTCGCTGCTACCAGTTCACCTGATCGGGGCTAAACCAGCAGCAGCCCACCTCTGTTCTAGACCCTGCCAGCTGGCACTGTTTGGCTGATGAGATCTGCAGCAAGCCCAATCTGCAACTATGAGAAGGCTCCGGTTGTCTGTGCTAGGAAAAGGCTAACTGTTCTCTCAGCTTCTTTATTATCCAACCCTCCCCCCCCATCTGCACATCAGAGAGGGCAAACAAAGCTTAAGCTTTGTTTGCTGCAGGTGCAGCTCTGCTTAGCAACTAATTAGGCAGCCCAGCTTGATTTCCTGGAAAACTTATGGCCGAGCCATTCTGGCCCTACAAAACTAATAAGCCATGTTGCAGCCCTTCAGATGTTTCTCTCCAGCTGACCACCTTACCATAAGCCAGGTTGCCTGGGGTTATCAGGGTTGGGCTGCTACAGGTTCAACCGGGTTCGGGAGAACCGCTAATGTTATGGCCGGTTCAGAGAACTTCCAAATCCCACCCCTGGCTTGCCACGTGCACTCCTCCCCTCCTCTCCCAGGAGTCTCCATGCGGCCCATTGTGGATGCGAGATAAGTGCAGAGCCCGCTCAGAGGTTCACGGAGGGGTGGAAAATGGGTTTCTGGCCTCCCGAAGGTCTCTGGAGCCCGGGGCATGCAGTTTTCACCCTTCCAGAGGCTTGAGGAAAGCCTCCGGAGGCTGGGGAAGTTGAAAATGCCCCCCCCCCCCGACATGAAGTCCACCCCTGATTATAATTCTGCAACATTTAGAAACTTGCATATGCTCCACTTGTGTGCATGTTGCCAAGAAAACCTTATGGCTGTGATGGCGAATCTATGGCATGCAGAGCCATTTGTCAGAGCACCTGAGGCGTTGCCCTGTCAGCTGGCCATTCCTTGAAGCCTCCAGAGTGTGAAAAACCAGCCCTACAGCCAAACTGGAAGTTCTGGAATGGACTTCCGGTTTGGCGGTAGGGCCGTTTTTTGCCCTCCACAGCCTTCAGGGACTCTCAGGAGGCTTCCCTGAAGGCTCTGGAGGGCAAAAACCAGCGCTACATAGGTCTATGTTTTGCCCTCCGGAGCCTTCAGGGAAGCTTTTGGCATGGGAGCCAAAAAAGGTTCGCCATCACTGCCTTATGGCCATCATGCAGAATTGAGCAATCTTTAGGCAATCTTTATCTCTCATCTGCTTGTTCAGAATCAGAACACAGCAATATGTTGTTGCTGGGGGGGTGGGAATCATCCCTTATCTTTGACCCCCAAGGATGACTAAACTGAAGAGGAAGCTGGAAGACCACATTCTTCTTTTAAAACAGATCCAAAGCTCTTATCATAAGTTCAAGCATAGGCTTGAAAGGGACTTTAGAGGTGTTTTAGTGAAATTCCCCATACAGAGCAAGACTCCCCAGATTTGGGTATCAAGAAATTTGGAAATCAAGGCACTTCTCAACCCTAGAAAAATCTGGAAGTTTTAAGAAGAGGTTGGATAACCATTTGTCTGAAAG